TGCCAAGACATAGGAGCCACTGAAAGAGAGTGGAGATTAATGTATACCCGCAGTAGTCTTTGCATCCCAAACCTGCAACAGTTTATAAAGTTTGCAAGGGGCTTCAAATTAACTACTACAGACACAACATAGAAGACATAATAATAACCATAAAAAGATGGGTAGTGTCTAAAGTTCAGTACCTTCACAGTGAAATCACTAGAAGCAGTAATGATACGACTGCCATCATTTGAAAAGATTGCATGATTCACATAAGAGCTGTGACCTCGAAACTCTTTCAACATTTTACCTGACTTGAGGCCGTGGATTCTGCAATTTGAGCAAACTGGTAAGCGTTCAATATGAAAAAGAAGAAGAAACTAAAGCTACCCTGTTTCCCCCGACAAAACCCTCCACCACCCAGGAAAAGATGCATTGTGGGCATTGTTGGCTCAGACCAAAAGCAAATTCATATTTTATTATAGTCAGATAAATGATCAACAACATGTAGCGGGAATAACTCGTCCAAAAAAGAATAATAGCTCCAAAGTAAAATCTAAGGTACCCATTATCAAACTGAAACTTAAAATGGAAACAAAAGTTACTCATTGTTGAGGGTACTTGGAGCTAAAAAGATTATGAAGACAAGGCAATAAGCTATCATTAGTACATACGACATCAACATCATCCTCAGCCACGACATAGGGCATCAAAGACGGAAAATGTCCAAAATCCAGATGTGAGAACATAACTATATGTATATTCAAAATATATGTATATTTGACTCATACAAATGTGCATCCTGTAGGTATGCACATATGAAAGAACCTGATTTCAGGAAAATATCTGTACGATAATTTCTGTCGAAAGGTTCACAACATACTCCAACCTGTATATAATTCTAAAGGTTGCAAGTTCGTAAATGTCAGACAAGGATCGATATTTTGGGCATATCCAAGTGTGCCGGACACACATCACTTTGGTTAGAAAGTATCCTACGTATTATAGTACTAAGGAGTCAAGGACATAAGGTTGAGCATGTATAGTAGGCAGCCTCATCTGGGTGACAGGTAAATATCAAGTTCTCAGTTTCTTGTCTCAAGGGCATTTTACAGTATCCAAGTTGAAACTAATGTTCTTTAGAAAAGCTGTTATGACAAGAGAAAAAACACACAATTTAAGTCGTTATAACTTATAAGATATCCAAATGTCTATTTTGCAATATGGTCAAATTAAGTGATGTAATCTCTATCCTTGACAAGGTCAGTGGATAACAAAGTCACCTTTAGAGTAAAAGGGTGAAGGTTCAATCGTAGATATCCCACTTATGAATAGAGATACAATTAAGCATAGCTCACTTTGTTCTATAGAATACAGGCCAGTCAGAACTCCAAGAGAAGATGCAGGTTTCTGGACTCGAGTCTAGTTCAGGCATAAGCATAGATAGACCCATGGCAGAATATCATAATCATGCTATCTAGTATTTATGTTCGATAAATAAAGAAATAATGCATTTGAACTGAGTGACTGAGGGACCATCAAGATAACTACTTTAAGCCTATAAATGATGATTTTATCTTTGAGATAATGAGATAACAAGAGAATTCAATGGTCTAAACAAAGAAACCCCCATCTAATTGCTGGAAAAATAGATAGCCACCAAATTTATACCCTTAAGAATGCTGACATTGAATGGAAGGGGAAGAAGACAAATGAGTGAGGATTTAGAAGACAAGCAGGTCATTATATCTGTGAGAACGCAACATAGTAAATGCCAATTTTCCAATAAAAGGAGCTATTTGCCTAGTGGTAGCACTCGTACTTCACCAAAACTATATTTGCATGTCATGAAATTCTGAAAAATTAGACACATGAGAGATGTTTTAATAATGCAAGCATCAGAATGGAAATGTACAAGGAAAATTGTCAGTACAAACATTCTAGTTAGTTCAAAAAGTTCGTACAACAGATCAATGTAAGAGACGACCAAATGTGCTACTTACCAAATAACCAGAAATATATTTTAGAAGGCTTATAAAGGTCAGCTTGTCCACATTATATGGCAAGCCCCATTATATTTAAGAACTGAAAGTACTTAGTCTTTCAAAGAAAAATTATTGCTCAATTCTAAAGAAAGTGCCCTTTATTCTAAAAAAACCTTGCTGTACTGTCAAAGGATGTACTTAGCAGCTGACTTCCATCGCGAGAGAAAGTAAGACTGGTAACACCCTGAGAATGCGCATGTTCGAGACGTTTCAAGCATTGTCCATTTCTTATTCGCCAAACCTAAAAGAGAAACGGAAAGCAAAAGTAATACAATGAAAGGAAAGAGATCAGGTAAAAATACAACGCCAAATTGATTTTCAATGCAATTGTTTCTTTCTTAAGCCTTAGCTTAATTACTCCCCCTCTGGAAGTTTTATGGCCTATCAGAAGCTCGATTATACATTACCAACAGCTTGTAACACAAATATTGAGTTCAAATTCCAATACAGCAGAACAGCTCAAAGTATAACCTTTTCTTGTCCTAGGTCAAGACATTAACCACAATCTCTCTTCCAATGTACTTGCCTTTAGGAAGACTAATTTTGCTACCAATACATATTTCACTGGGATGGACCAAGATAAGATAACACTAATAGTTCATGCTACGTTACCCGGACACTTCATCTAGGCTCCCATATCCCTGTCAGACACTTCATGTATCCGTGTCTGTGTCAAACACTCCTTGAACACTTCTTGGTTATATACATACATATATTCAAACATGTGTCAATTATATAAAACATGTCTTAGTTTAAAAAACACTTCTTGAACATATATCGTACACTTCACCTCAAATTTATGCAACTCATTGGCCTCGGGACAGGTTCGTTTTAGCACATCCTAGTTCATAAGTATGAATTTAAAGGTTTGTTTGGGGATCTAGTTAAAAAACAAGTAGTTTTTCAATTTATAATCTACTCAATAAAAGAAACATAAAAATGGCATACAGATTTTATTTCTCATAACATGTGAATGAAAAACAATCGATCTCATAAAAGTCATTAATTTTAATATGTAATGTATATAGTTGTGTCTCTGTATCCTAACTTGTACAATTTTGCCATGTCCCGTATCTACATCTGTATCCGTGTCCACACTCGCACCCATGTCCGTGCATCATAGGGTTCCAGCATTATCAAACAAATAGAGTATCTGTGCAAATGATAAGATTTTTTTATCCGACCATATTCTACTTCAGATTTGAATTTTCCCAAACATGAAAAAGATTTTGGCACCGAACATAACCTTCCTAAGTTTCTCCTGATTCTTATCCTCACCTGAGTTTTAGTATAAAGCCGATTCGAATCAGGATAGGATGCAGATACCCAGTGGATTATTATATTAATATTTAATAAAATTCATCTACAAACTATAGCATCTTTAGAGTCCCAAGTTGATCACAGTTATAATACAATGGTCTGAGGAAATGTCATGAGTGACAAGTGTAGGTTACAATCTCTCAGTTAATCAGTGGGGCTCATACTTATGAAAGCTATGTAGAATTTGTTGATGATACGATCATACAGCTATGTGATGCACAAACTGGAGTTTAGCATGTTATAAACTCTATGTGGTGCACCTACATGAAATAAAAGCTTTGAAGGAAAAAAAGAAAACACTTTGAAATGTAACTCCTGCAAGTTTAATGTCCAAATTTATTTTCGAAATATATTAACAGACGCATGAAGAGTGGTTGAGATCTGCACTGACGGAAAAAAAAAAGGAATAATACCTTAATCTTCCCATCTTGCGATCCAGACGCAAGTACCTCAGAATCTCTACTAAAATCAACACAAAGGACAGCATCGTCATGCATCATAAAAGCATCCTGCATGGTACAATAAAAGCATGCAGCATGAACTATAACCATGCATATGTCCAGCTCTAGAAAACATGAGTAAATGTGAAAAGAGAACAGTGGCAACATGCTGAAAGAAAGACTTGATTGTTCAGCCAAATTTAAATCCAGAAATATAAAGCACAACTTATTTAGCTAAAGCATGTTTTTTAAGGAAGAAAAAGTATTGAATATTTCAAAGAACAAACTATTATCATGAAAGATTGGATTATTCAGCCGAAGATGAAGACACCTCTCAGGAAACATATATGTGGTGCTAAAATAGCATCATTGAATCTGTGACAGATGCTACGAAGTCATCTGTGGAACATGAATTTGTAATAAATAAATATACAAACATTTTCCCAACTAACTGATTTGAAGGGTTAATCCTACTGGAAATATCAGTTGGCAACCTTGAAAAATAAGCTTATTGAAATTTGGTGTATAGATTAAGTAATTGTTGAGAAGATTCATAAATTACTATGAACAGAAATAGAGCTTTTCAGTGTGATGACAGTAAAGAAGTGAAAACTCACATCAGCTTGATACTGAAGATCTTTCTTGAGCTTTCCACTAATGTAATCCCAGACCTGTCTCAGATATCCCAAATCATCAGCATATAGGCATCTGGTTAGTCAACCTCATTTTTCTTTTATTTTCTGTTTTTCTTTTCAATGAAAAAATCAAATGAAATCCAGATGAAAAATATAAGAATAAGTTTGACAGCAAGCACATAAGAAAATATGGCAATTATTGGAGCAAGCTACCCAAACTCTTAAAGTCGAGTTTGGCTAGTAGAAGTCTAATGGAAAACCAAAATCAATTTTCCATTTTTTTTTTTTTTTGAGGTATCAATCAGCAAGATTTTGAGCCTCCAAATTCAGCGATAAGAGAAGGAAAGGCCAGGTGTCTGCTAAGCTAAGTTGCACTGGTACAGGTACGATACACGGCAAATTTGTGAAAGGCAGTGTACTGGGACACAGCTGAAACTCATGGGATATAATCATAGGTCTGAGCTATATATGTAAATGATCCTTTTAAATCGCAGCTTTCATGGCTGAAATGAACTCGACCTTTATCCAACAAGTTACAAAAATGGATATGAAGTGTAGGATATATATCTATATCTATACACACACACACACACACACGTGTGTGTGTGCGCGCGCGCGTGCGTGTGTGCGCGCGCGTACACGTGTGTGTGCTGTATATGTATACTGA